GCCAGAATCGACAACTACTTGGCATGGGCCAGCTCCTCTCACTCTCCCCGATAGGCGGTGCGCGAGTCGGGTGGCAGACGATGCCGAGCTGACTTTCTATTTCCTCAGGAAGGAGGAGGCGCTCCTTTCTGCAGGCCGCCAGGTGGCCTACCCCACGTCATATGTCTGCGCCTGCGCCCTTGCGTATATCACGGATGCCACCTCCATCGGCTACACCGATGGTTGCCCGTAACGTGGAGTTCCGCGAGACCTTTCCTGAGACTGCAGGTGTTGCAAGACAGATAAGACAGGCGAAATTGGGCTATGGCGGACTTTGTTCCGGGGGAGCCCAAAGGCGCACCCCCCTGAGTAAGTCAAGTTAAGCTCGGCGGCGCAGCTTGACGAGGTTCCAAAAATGAGAGTGTCCCACACAGAGGGCGTTGATCGCAAAAGTCATTTTTTCTCAGCTTGCTTGCTCGCTTGCCACGCATGCCAGGAGTGGCCCAAAGCGCTGATTGACGGACTGCGTCCTCCAAGTTGAAGTGTGCTCCGCCTGAGGGGCCCCAACAGTGGGCAGCGTGAAAAATTGATTGGGAATTTGTTGCCAGAGCGCTCTGCAATTGGGGGACTTGATGACATGAAGGTATCCGCTGCCGCCACCTGACCGAACGCTGGCAGTCCGCCCTCCACACCACCCAACACACATCGGTCAACTCCTGCTTCTCCACGTGGCGGACGTAACGCCCTGCTCATACAGTCCCACCACGGAGGTGACACACTCAACAGCGCGTCGGAGGAATCGCCTCACACGAGATGCGTCTGCATGCTCCAATGGGCACATGACATGCAACCGGAACAAGGGACACTATCAGCCTGCCAAAAAAGGCAAAGGTGGAGGAAAACCCACCTTCGTGCCACCCCGGAAGACCTTGGCAGAGCGTATCGCAAATTCCACGCGCCGGATCTGCAACAAGCCTGGCCATTGGAAGCGTGAGTGCCCTCAGAGGTCGGAAAAGACCACAGAGATGACTACGATGGCAGAGACACCTTTTGAGCCAGCGTGAGCAAGATCCTGAGCTGGTCGAGACCTTGCCGGATGCGATCCAGTGGGTGACGTCGCTCCTAGTCAGGCCCGCCTTACCCATGTGGGGTTGCAGCGTGCGCGCGTTCGTCAACGCTGGGGATGCGGACATTTTTTGAGAAGCAGGTCGAGAAGCAGGCCATCTTGGTTTTGCTGAGGATGAGTTGCCTTTCACCGCGCCTTCCACACCAGACCACGTCACCCTGACACCAGAATTGGAGGGGCGGGCGTTGTAGAAGCGTTCTCTCGAAGTGGCTAGATGTTTGGAGTGCTCGTTCGGTTAGCCTTCAGAGGAGTAATCAGAGATAGCAGCTAGCAGCCACACTTGATTTGATTGAAGCTCTCTTTGAAATTCGACCGGAGCGCTAGCAGCCAGCGGCAAGTGATGCGTCCCCCAAAAAAGGCTCGTACCAGGCGCGCCGGAGTTCTGACGTTTCCCGAACGGGGGCTGTTTTCCGCGTACAGTAGATCTAAGCATCTTCGAATTGCGCAACTCAAAGTTTTAAGTATTCCCCATGAAAGGGGTGACCGCCCTCAGTCGGAGCTTGAGGGGGTCTTTCTTTAGGCAATTTTTAGGTTTATCGACGACGTGGCGGCTTTGATGGCCCTTGTGAAAGATCCAAGGTGGATTGGATGACGCAATTTGGTTACTGTACACAGGGACCACGGTTTCCTTGATCACGCCGGCTCCGTGCCCCAGGTGGCAGTTGCCGTTTCGGGTCTTGTCATACCTGTTTGCTCTTTTAGTGCGTTGGGAGTTGAGTGCTTGGGCGCGGTAGCTTGCGTATCAAATCCGCTTCCATTCTTCACGGCTGCGCTTCCTGCACAAAAGGCTGCGAGCTAACCAACACAGATAGCGAGAACCGTTATGACTCATCACAGATAGCAAGAACCTCATGACACTCGAGACGTTTCCGCACCGTGCCGGATGAAAAAGGAGCGCAGTAGCCTGCTTCAATCTGTAAACAAGCATTCAACAATGAAAAGTCACGAAAATATCATTTGTTGAGGCTTTCTTTCACGATCTTTACTGGAGATGGGAGGTTGCAAGCGCGCCGAACCTGAACCTGTGGCAACTTCCGTGGCCGAGCGGCTCTACGCCAGTGCGGTGTCCTGTGGTGGGACTGCGGGCTTTCCAAGGTCTATGGTGGGTTGTTGGATGACGTTGGACTAAGTTCCTTTCTTTTCAACCGGGCATGGTCACTGTGAAGGGCATCTCTGAGACAAGTCTCTGATTTAGATTCCAACCCAGTGAGTGGCCAGCCTCCTTGCTTTTTGCTGAACGGATGAGAGAGGATTTGTAGATAAAATTGAATGTGTTTCGCGCAGAATTCTCTGCCATTGGACCCTGTTCTTCTCGGTTTGACAGGCTGCCCATGTCTCGAGCGATTTTCCTGCGCAGGACCTGGGGGTGTCTTAGATTGAACACGACTGAACTAGACTATTTAACCGATCTTGAAGAACTTTCTTGGTCTGGTTCCCACTGCTTCCAAATTTTGCAACGCATTGTACAATTTTGTCACCAAGCACGGACGATGTGAGATCGAGGTCGTTGCGCACCAATTGTCCCTCTACTTTGAATGACATGCTGCTCCCTGGCTGTTTTTGCGCGAGTGTGTGTCTCAGCTGACATTACGCTGCGCGTCTCAAACTACATTGCCCTGTGCGTCTCAGCGGAACATCGCAAAGATTTCCAGCGTTACTTTGGGCGAGCTACGTCCGCTCAACATGCGCAAACTTCAGCGAGCACGTGCGCCTCATGGATGGTGCGCTGACCCACCCATTGTGGCTGAGAGAGTCGGTTGGCTGGCAATGTGTATGAATAGAGAGAGGAAGAAGGGATCGAAAACAGAAAGGTCCAGAGTCTATATCCAAAGAACACATGGCAGAAGTAGGGAGTAAATCAAAAGAACGCATGGCAGAAGTAGGAAGCAACATACCGCCGAACTGGTGGAACGGATGCGTTACAAGAGCTGAAAGCAGTGTGATAGAGTTTACGTAGTAACAACGGTTCTCGAGAAAGGTCATGGTAGCAGTTTCGCGGCCTAGACTCTAGACATTGGTACAAGAAGAGACCCAACAATGCATTAGCCTCGTCCAGACACCCCTCGCTGTTTGCAGGAAGCTGCGATAGCCTTTTTTGCTGCCGAGGTGATCAGGGAGCGCCGGCTTAGCGTCCATTTGACCGTCGCTGGCGTGCGCCGCCGGCCTCCACGGCTTAATGCTGCCGCGTGCGCGCAGAGGAGCAACGTGTCGTGAGCAAAGAGAAAGGGGAGCTAGACTGAAGGCAGGGGAAGACACGAAGCAAAGAAACGGTAAGGGCTCGCCCTAGAGCAAAGCATAAATTGATTCCTGCCGGTGGAGTGGGCGAAGGGAAAGCAAATGAGCGACTTCGCCAGCAAAAAGCATAAGCAAGGGTGGGAGACGCAACGCAGAGAAACGGCAAGGGGAGGGGAAGGGGTGTCTGGAAATGGAGGCGGGAAAGTCACGCGGAGGAAGAAGGTAATTTGAATCACGAGTGGGCCCAGACCGGTGCTGCCAAGGTAACATTTTCTAAAACCATTCTAAGATTTCGAAAAGTCTAGATATAGGTGTTGAGGAAAGGGGTCGGTGGCAAGAGGGTCTGTCGAGGTCTGTTTGATAGACCGCGCGCGGGCAGAACGGGTGAGGTGGGAGAGCTGCGGGGAAAAACGCAAGGTCTTGTCCTATATTATAGCATACGGTGATTGGTAAAAACCGTGGCTTGATGTGAACTGTGGTTGGTGTAAAGTGGGGTGTGTTGCAAACTATGGTTGGCGCAACCCGCGGTTGGGTGTACACGGTGGTTGGCGCAAACCGTGGTTTCGTGTAAACGGTGGTGTGGTGCAAGAGATGGTTGGTGTAAACGGTGGTGTGGAGTAAACGGTGGCTGGCGTAAAGCTTGGTTTGGTGTAAAGGGTGGTTGGCATAAACGATGGTTGGTGTAAACCATGGTTTGGTGTAAACGGTGGTGGGTGTAAACCGTGTTTTTGTGTAAGCGGTGGTTGGCGTGTAAACCGTGGTTTGATGTAAACGGTGGTTGGTGTAAACGGCGGTGTCGTGTAAACGGTGTTTGGCGTAAACTTTGGTTTGGTGTAAAGGGTGGTTGGTGTAAACGGTGGCTTGGTGTAAACGATGGTTGGTGTAAAAGATGGTTGGTGTAAACCGTGGCCAAAATGCTTTTAAAACCATGGCAACCGTTGTGAAGTGCACGCAAAGCACAAGGCAAAACACAGGCGACGCGTGCGCAGAACGACGACGACGACGAGGAGGAGGTGGACGACGACGACGAGGAGGAGGAGGAGGACGACGACGACGACGAAGACGAAGACGAAGGCGAAGGCGAAGGCGAAGACGAAGACGAAGACGAAGGCGAAGGCGAAGGCGAAGACGAAGACGAAGGCGAAGGCGAAGGCGAAGGCGAAGACGAAGACGAAGGCGAAGGCGAAGGCGAAGGCGAAGGCGAAGGCGAAGGCGAAGGCGAAGGCGACGACGAAGACAACAACGTGCAAAGCGGGGGAGGGGGGTCGGTCAAGTTAGTCGAGGCAAAACTCCGCGCAGAGGATCAATCTATACGATAAACAATTTTGGGATTAGACAAGACAAGTACAAATAAAAAAGCATCCGCAAGACACGCCGGCAGGCCGGCAGATTTTGCGGCAGCTTAATGATTGATGTTCATGCTGGCTGACAATCCAAAGCGATGCGATGCGAGTGTGGCGGCGGTGGTAGTGGATCAGGGTGGTGGTAGGTCGCAATGGGTGCCGGGTGTGGTGCTTAGTGGTTGGTAGTCGCTTCATTGGCTTCATCGGCCCCATGGGCTCCATCGGCCCTGTCGTAGGTTTTTCTGCTATCTTAATTTCTCTTGGTATTGTTATATTTTTGATCCTTCACTCCTCAGAAGCAGTACGGCCAGCAGGTTGCGTCAAATCGCTGTCACAGCGACACTCAACCCATCGCCCCAACGGTTGTAACACCAAGTCCTGACGCAGGCTGTTTGTATGGAGCCTGTCTCAAAGTTCATCGACAAATCTGCGAGAATCTATGGTGGGTTTTCTCACATGCTTTCACCTTTGAAGTAAGTAGTCTCACATGCCTGTTTTCCTGGCAGGCGGACGAAGAATTCGCACCTGGCACGAAACTGAGACGGGTGTGGAACCTCCCTTTTGCTCAGATTGGCATGGCCTCAAAGATACAGGCCCCTCGAAGCCACTTCATATGGGGATGGGTCAAAACGGAGCCCCAACATGCCCCAACACCATGTAGTTTGACCTCCCAGGTAAGTTAACCAACGTATCTTGGTTTTGACCCACAGCAATATCATCCTTTGGCCAAACCGTTTGCAAATTACCAACATATAGCTACACATGATTACACATGTCTAGACATATCGGATAGCATGCGGTAGTCAGGAACTTAGATCCAGAAAGAAACAAAAGCAATAACTGCATGTCAGTCTGTCAGAGTGTATGGAAAGTAGATAACATATATATAATATATATGATATATTTATAAATAAATATAATATAATACAATATATATATATATGTTTAATCATATTACACTTATGATGCAACCATCCCTTTGGACAGGTAGCCAAGGTGCATGAGACATATCACTACATATCATGTCACATTGTGAGGCGAAGCAACAGTTATGCGGGCGACGAGATTCCCGAGGAAGAGGAACCCAAGGAACCCACCAAGTGGGCAGCTTAGCAGAGCAGTCACTGGGCGTTGGGCCCCACCGCCTCCAGCCTGACCAGTCAATCAGCGAGTTGCTTTGTTTGCCTGACAAAGCCACCTGGGTAGTCTGCATCGCTGTCCATGGGCCCAGTCAGGTTGATGACCAACAGAAGTGGAGAGAGTTGCTTTGTGTGCAGCAAAAACAATTCAAGGACTCTCATGGCCATACAATACACAATTTCCAATTCCTCTGAGCAGGACAGTTTAGGATCTCAAGGGTTACAGATGATTAGAGTGACTACAAAAACCATGTTGGAAGTTTAAACATGGTATGTTTTGGCGCCGGTCTTACTGACGATCCTGATTTCTTGGAATAGATTGAAGCTGCAGCGAAAGCGTAGCCTCCGGACTTGAACACTTTGGGTTGGATCTGAGATGACCACAACGGACTACAGCGCATTTGGAGCTGAATATATTTTACTCAGCCTGCTTCCTCCCCTGGAATGAAGAGGATTGAAGAGTTGCACCCTCTCAGGTCCTCACCAGGTGGCCGTTGCGATCAACAACAAACCTTTTGTATCCTTCGTCTTCCAAGGCAGATGGGCAAAATGAGCTTCAAAGATGCCTGCTGCACACCGGACCTTTGGTGGAGTTTTCTTTTCCGTCGACCCTTGGCCCGAAGTCACAGGATGACTGAAAGCCATTGAAAGTTGCCCAGTTGGCGCAACGACAAACTACTGAAGTGTTCAGTGTTTTTGGAGGGCCGGTGGCCAAGGCAAAAAACATTGATTCATTGACCACGGCAGAATCTAGCTTCGTTTGCAACGTCTTGTCATGTGACTTATGGTTTTGGCGACAACTACATTGAACATCTTTGAAAGGGGCTACCTGCCGGCCATTTTTCTTAACCCACTACTGCAGGCCACGCTGGCTTGTTGAAATTTGCGGACGATCAACCTATAATGTTAATTAATTGATACTAAAATTGCATATTCTATGTGAGGCACATGCCCCGGCAAACCTTCTGCACGTTTTTGGATCGGAAGGCCTAATGTTGGATCCTGATTAGTAAATGGTGCCTCTATAATGCTAAATTTTTCCAAATTTATTTAGACCCCCCTGTTTGAAAAATGGTGCCTGTATAATGCTAAATTTTTTTGGG